TTCATTGACCTGTTGGCTGATGAGAAAACATTTAACCCCGTTCAGAAAATAGCTGATATGAAGGCCAGATTTGGAATCACCGTCCGAAGACGCATCTCTTTTTGAGTGGTCATGAAAGTGGAAATTTGCTATCCTTTCTTTGTTAGACCTGATAAGCCTTCAGGCCGCATGTCTTGGAACTGAACATAAAAATTCTCTCAACTGTTTTGTTTGCACAACGACAAAGGTCGGTTTGACAAGGCAATGATTGAGTGTTGATTATTATCGCTGATTCCAATCTTCGACACTGCGGCCGTTGAAGGCATTTCAGGGCGAACTCCACGTCATTTTTTCAATCAACCTCATATACCGTTCGAAATGCCCCCTAGTACGTCTAGCACTTGTTTACAACATCTGTCTCATCATTGTTCTTCTTTTTAGCTGGGTTTCGACTCTTTGAGGTGTTGAGTGCTTAGCAGCAGCCACATCTCGAAGGCAAAACTCGCGATCATCCGCCATCACAGTAGAAGCATTAAGGGTTTGCACATAAACGACATGCTGTGTCTTGATAGTGAAGAAAAAAAAGCAGGAAAATCATGCCAACTGCCCTCAATAGACCCACTTCGATTTCAGTTTGTCCGTGCCCAACTAACTCCATTTCCAACAATACGCCCCCATCCGCACAGCTGATTCCCTGATAAGAACTCTACGACCGTACAAGTGACGATTTTCATGCTTTTCGTCCTGCAGCTTCGTTTTTCACTGAAAGGCGAGCCCTTAAGGCGGAGTCACTGGAAAAAGGGAGCGTCACTGAACCTACACTGCGCCATAGCGCCCCTTCCTTGCAATTTTTTTCCGCGAATCCAAATCGGCAGAGGTTGTTTGTTGACCACAAGACCTTTCAAGCCATATTTTCAACTTCTATACCTGAACGTGACCGTGCCTTCAAGAGTGCGGTCCGCGATAAGTAGCGCAGGTAGTGGTGTTGAAATATGGAAGAGAAGTTTCCAGGTGACTCGCTTGAAAAGAAAATACCAAAGGGAACGTTGGAAACGCCTTTGATAGGACCCCTCCAGCCACAACAATTGCGCGGGTGAAAATCCAAAAGATAACCTATTCTGACGGGTCCAGTCAGCTGATTCCTCGTAATGAACCATATGACCCCACAGTGAACTATGCATTCTATGGCTACTCGCCCGGTAGCACTATTTTCGCTGGAAGGCGGACTTTCAAGGTGGAATCTGGAGGCTGAGTCCCTTAAAAAGGGAGGTATCACTGCAGCGACTTTGCGCCTTAACGCCTTTCCCTTACAATCCTACGCCACGAAACTGGCATTAAGGTTGTAAATTACGGTCCACATTTCCCTTCCCACACTTCCCGCCTAGTATAACGGAACTTGCCGTAAATAGTAGCAATCGCACGTGCACACGCAATGGACGAACTTCGCTTCCACGTGCACGCGCATCTGCCATTACGGTATCGCGGTGGATCCATCAAGCTGACAATATTTTGTGTTTTTCCATTTAAATCATCGTCGGGAAGAAAAGTAATATGTGTCAAAAACAATATTATGGCTGATGAATAGAATTCGAAGCCACTAGGAATAAGAATTCGAGAGCAGTAGTGCCCTCTCACAACAACCTATTACTAACTATAACAACCTCTCATTAAACAAAAACTATGCAGATTCGGCGCGGGTGTGTTAATGACCCGTTACTATTTGATGGCGATCAATGGAGAGGTCCGGGTGCGGGCCAGCAGATCAGCGTTGCCTCTCTTCCGCCCTGAACTTCGCAGCTATTGCCTTGCTTCTTTTTGCCGTCAGATTATGAACTGTGCGCAAGACGTACGTACGATAGCCGTGGAAGCACAAGGTGAATGGCAGTGGCGAGGTACTCCTGCTATAGGATTAGACATACACAGACGCTTAGCGAATTAGTCGCCTCGAGAGACGCAGAGAGACTCGGGAGAATTCACGCACCGCACCCCTGCTCAGGGCACATCATTGGTTGGGATTCTGCCCGAGTCCGTGCAGCCCCCTCCCCTTTTTTCAGGGGGCTGGTACGACCCCTTCCCGGTTCGCTACTCACCCAGCTGCCGCGGGGGGGGGGGGTATACAATACATATAAAACAGAAAAAACCTTGAAAAGTCAGCAACCTTTCCTCAGAAAGTCAGAAGGGAAATACGACCCCCCCTTTACAACGTCCCTGAAACAAAAAATTCTTCTCAACCCAAATACGACTCCCCTCTCCCAGCGATCAAATATTACCTCCTTGTTAGGGGATCCCCAACAACCTCTGTCCCTGCTATGATTAGTGTCGATGCCCCTCTGCCCCTGCTATGATTAGTGGATTGAGTCGTGGTGCGAATGTTTCGTACGCCTCAAAGTTTGCAACGCCTGTCGCACTCGTCGTGACTGAGAACGAACACTCTAACCCAGGCAGTTGCAGCCGGAGACGAACCAACAAAAGCCTAACTGCGACTCCCTTGAAAATGGATGTCCTAGAAGTGCCGTCTCCTTGCTGATGTCTGACAGCAAAAATTATTCTGTTAAGAGAATTTAACGTTATAATTTTCTGTAAGGCATTACAGTATACTTATCTAAGTTCCTGTTTCTACAAAATGTGATGATCTTCTTCAGACATGAAACGTTCCTGCCTCGATGAGAACATGCTATTCTTCTGCATTGGTACCTCAGTCGTTCTTGGCATCACATTGGGTCTTGTTGCACGAAATTTCGAATTGCCATCAGAAACCATTTCATTGCTGCAATTTCCTGGCGAGATATTCATGAGACTGCTAAAGTTGATGATATTACCATTAGTGGTTGCTTCTCTCATCTCTGGTGAGCGAATTCTTTTATTCCCATCTAACTAATGAAAATTGTATCTCGAATAGAGGTAGTGTTCTCACTGGAACACCTGCTTGACCTTTCTTTGATTCATCCAACCATCTTTAAAAGACCTCACACAAAAAAGCAATGGAGGTTACTTTGCTATGGTCGAATGGTACTGGCCATTAGATAAATCCAGTAGGAAGCAAGTTGCTCGCAGGGTACTAAACAAATTTCCATTCGTTCGCTATTGAAAGAACACACCCAAACTGGCCTGTATCTACGACCTCTCCAGAGACAGCATGTATTACGCTCAAGGTACATTCCCTATCCCTGTACACGAGAATGAGGCATGGACTGAAGCGCCATCAGGGCGGCCTTTCCACCAACTGAGGCTACCCTGAGCCTGCAACTGGTGAAAAAGGCTGTTCTGACTGTGCTCCAATCCACGCCTCTTCACACGCCTTCCTATTTGCACACAAAAGAACTGTATGTCCTCTCGATGGGGTGGGATTGAGAGCTGCGGATGGCAGACCTCCCAAACAGCAAAAATCAGCAGTGAAGCACACTTCCAAGCTGAAACACGGATCCCTACCCCCGGTTGACGAGCCGCTGACGACTGTGTGTACGGTGTTGGACCGCCTATAGAATAAAGGTGCGCGGCCGAACTGTGGAATAAGAAACTTGTGGAGCCGGCATCTAGGCGACTGAAGTGGCGACTACTTGGCGTCGCTTACTGAAGGGCGGATGGTCAGATCGTATCAATCCTTTCCGAAGATTATCCAGTTCTCTTGTTTTTTTTGTTGAGCACGGCTTCAGGTATGAACTTCTGTTTTTTTTTTTGTTGAGCATGGCTTCGGGTATAAACCCACCTCAGTTACCAACACAGCAAGAGCGAGTGCAGATGCTGCAGACTGTCCACGTCAATATTTAACTGCTGCCGCTCTTTTTGTTGCTGGCAGAAAACCGACTATGCGAGTTATGTAACACTTCTGCCGATCCCACGAGGTGTTGAACAGGATGGGGTTGCGCAGTTCACAAGGGACAGTTTCCCCATGAGAAAAAAGAGCATCATGCAGCTGTTACCACGGAAGCCCTTTTGGGCGTGTCTCCTTCGCGTGGCTTTTGGTGCAACGCCAACCCCTTTCTCCCCACTCATTCGACGCTCGAATTCGCGCATTGAAAAGTAGCTGTCTAATGGATCGGAATGACAACAAAATGCTGAGTCACTGATGCTTTAATCTATGGTATACGTTGTTTAGCACTCGCACAGATGGACGTGGCAAACTCTAGAGTGATCGGTCTCGTGACGTTACTGTATTTACTTGACTACTGTATTCCTCGCTACTTTTATGTGAGTCTTCGCTTTCATAAATAAGGTCTCCTCCTGCCTTTTCAATGTTCAACAAATCCCAGCCTGGGTTGTCCTTCGCATTAATCGCAAAAAATGAAGCAACGTTTACCGAGAACTAGCGAGAATTTTCAGATCCCCCCGGTTTTGGCTTTCAGACTGTTGTCGGGCATGGACTTCTGTATGCGTCAGGAAATATCCCCCTACAGTGATAAAATCCATCTGGAGTATTGACTCTCTGTTCGAAGCCTAAACCTTTTGCGTCCTGAAAGGCACAGTCCAACGAACCTCAACTAACGTGCCTCCATCTTCTGGGCGTTGCTCCTTCAAGGACTGTCAAGAAGGGAGGACCGAGGGAGTGGTGTGGCGGCGCTGGGGAGGGGCTGGGGAAAGCCCACCAGCAAACAAGATACTACAGTTGATTGGTGGCGCATACTATCGGCATGGAATGTGCCTCCAGCGGTTGCTATTCACACACTTGCTGGCCATCCAAGTCCATTGTGCTTACGCGCAGAAGAGAAGGAAAAGCTAAGCTAACGTTCAGCGAAAGTCGGTTAGAAAGTACTGTACTGCATACGGGATCGTAAAAACCAAGCTTTGGATTGAACTCTCCTCGGCCTCCCATCATCCGGTTAATTGATAGAGGTCCGTTGATCTCCTAATCCTAATAGGATCCTAATGGCTTATAGATGCGGTTTACTAACGGCGCAGAGTTGGCAATGGGTAGCACCATCCCGAGAATGTACCCCAGCTCGAGAGTTTCATATATTTTCAACCGCTAGTCAGGAAGTATATTACATGAGCCGAAAGATTCTTTGCTTCACTCTTCTGAAGACATGTCCACATTTATTCAGCTAGGGATCTTCCTCGTTCTGATGATCCATCCAGGCGATCCGAGATTGGGCTCCAATTCTACCCTGTTGCTGGAAACGCATAAAATTTCGGCGGCGGACACGATCCTGGATCTCGTTCGGTACGTGTTCATACGAATAGAAATTATTTTTATAGCAATATTGCAGAAATATGTTCCCAGACAATATTGTCAGTGCATCATTCGAACGTTCTCAAACGGTTCAAAGGACCAGTGCAACACCAATGGCTAACGGCACTGTGGAAGAGATCAGAAAGGAGGTTTCCGAACAGCGAGGAATGAACATAATAGGTGAGAACCTCTTTACCCTCCACATTGTCTGATCTGCCGGAATCAAATCACACTTGTAAAATCGCTACTATTAATTTGTGCCTTACAAGTGGATGGGGAACATTTATTTCAGCTTCGACTTAGTTGCCCTTCTCAGAGGCCTGAACTCAAGCGCGTCGCCAACTCTAGTGTATTCGAGAATGTGTTAGGAATCCCTCGAGACGACGCCAATAACGTAAAGAAGACTCACCGACGGTTCCACCGTTTCAGCGGAAAAAGCCCGCCTGCTTACTATCTGCTAGCGACATAGCATGGATGAGGTTTTTACATTAGCCTTCACATAAGGAAATGCTCAAAATTGAAAATTTCTCCATTACATTTTTGCTAAGTCTGATTGTTCGATTGTTATTTTTGTTGCGCGAACTCGCCCACCACCTGGAAAGCAGCTGGTGTCGGACCTCCGCGGGAGGCTTCGACCAGGCACCTATTATTCCTTTCAGCCTCAACCATATCTCTAATTTGCGAATTGTATTCCCAAAGTAATTCGTCGGGTGACCCATAAAAACCTTTAGTTTTATGCCAACATATGAAAGAAGCCCTATTTAGTATAATGTGTAGTTTGTATTGGATTCGGCATAGTGACGTCTTACTATGCAGAAAAGGTACGAGTAATTGTGGAGTTCTTTGTGGCACTGGACAAAATCATTATGAAACTGATGCTCTCCGTGATGTGGTAAATTGTCTTGACTCTTCGGAAGGTGTTGCTCATTAATTACGTTTGTGAATGTGAATTTGAAGGTTTGCGCCTCTTGGCATCACGAGTTTAATAGGCGGTAGTCTTTTGGAGCTGGACGACATATGGTTAGCAGCGGGAGCGATGTCAAAGTGAGTGACGCATAAATTCCTTCTTTTACTCAGTAGATTAAATGTTATTCGGATATCAGAGGCGCTGCGCTACATGGAACACCACAATCTGTTAGGAGAGCAAATCCCTTCGTAGTTCCTTCTCAGCTAGTGCGGGATTTTGGTATCGACACAAGTGCTGCACCTTGAGGATAGCGCGGGCGGAGACCTAAATGGCACCCGAGTGTCATTACCATTCAGCCTTATTTTCACGCACTCTCGAATGACGAAGGTATTGAACTTGCTACTGCCAACACGTTCTTCTCGCACATGGGAAAGTCGTCCTCGGGGGTTGGTGCATGGTTTGCCTTCAAAAGGATAGTGGGTGGTCCACGTAGTTCAATGTATGCTAGTGTTTTACGCTCAACTCGATATTAACTGCTCCATATGAAAGGTATATTCAGATACGTTCTTACTATACTTACTGGACTACTGATACATTCGTTCATAATTATACCAGTTTTGTACTTTCTGCTCACGAGGAAGAATCCCATCAAGATTTTTAAGTGTATGCGACAAGCAGGTGCTGCAGCCATGGGCACTGCGTCGTCGTGAGTCGTTTTATAGTTTCTCTATGAATTCCAGTTTTTTCAAGTGAAGTTTCATTGAATTGAGTTCGAAGGTCCTGGTTCGATAATCATTTCTTTAGTGGAGCTGCTCTACCGTTGTCCATCAAGGGAATGGAGGAGGAAGGTGGTGTGGATGAACGTGTGACACGATTTGTTTTACCTCTCGGAGCGAACATCAATATGGTGAGCTGAATTGAAAACAAACGTGAATGAACATAAAGGCAAAAAAATGGATGAAAAGAGAGAGGGCTGTAGGAATCCCCTCTTAGGGAGGGGGAGGGGGCGTGGGGTCTTTCCTACTTTTCCTCGTACTCCCGTCGCGGTGGTGGTCCTGATTAATAAGCACCTCGCCTTCGTCTTTTCAGAAGAGCGGGGCACGAACAATGAACAGCGTGGACTGCGTGATACAGGCTTTTGGGTACTTTACTACTTCAAGAACCACCGGACATAAAGATTTCATGCCTAAAGCATCAGTTCAAGGAATAAATGCTGTACTGCTTAGGATGGATGCGCTCTTACGAAGCTGTTGCAGTGATTTTCATAGCACAGGTCCACCAAGTTCAATTGCGGGTTGATCAGATAGTCACGATAAGGTGAGCTGAATTTTACAATGAAGGCACATTCCGGGCTCATCGAATGGTTGAGAACTCAGCATGTGAATGGCATTTAATATTTTGGACATGTACTGGTTCACCAATTCTCTGAAAAATCAAAGCAATAATCTAGCTGGTGATCAGTTTCGTTGCAGAAAAAAGTCACAGTGAATATAGTCCACTTCCCTGTCAGAATCATCAAATGGCATCTCTCACTGAGCAGACTGCTTTAATGATCTGACGAAGGGTAGTCAGATACTCACGTGTGTTTTGGCGCTGGCTAAATTCGTCAAGTTGGCTCTTTGTGCAGTAGTTCGAGGTTAGAGATATTCGCCCAATCGGCCAAAACGGCTGGGGGGACTATTTTCCCATCTATTGGATTTTTTTTCTGTAGGCAACTGAGCTTGAGCTTACTGTTTTTCTGCAAGACTGCCCATTCAACGTTGTTTTTATAGTAGCTGTGCATGCAAGTGGCGCGCTCTAAAGCCATCGCAGGAATTATCGACTTATCGGCAGAGCCGTGCAGGCGGTGTCATCACCTCCACGTTCCGGGCGAGCGCGCTATCTGTTAGGCCACCAGGGCAGCCCCTTACTCTGTCAGCTTGACGGCTTCTATTCCACAACTTTACCGCAGTGAGGTACGGTTTCAAGTTCCGCCTGGGACCAAGACTCAGCATCTTTCTGGTGGCTTTGTGCACCTTGTTTTTCCATTCTGCTGCCACTGGTCTGTTTTTTTTTTTCCTCTACAGCACAATTACGACTGGCAATCAATTACCTGCCAGCAGTATGTATGGTAGCTCTATAGCTCATTTCGTTCCTATAAGGAATTCGAGTGCATGGCTTTGGAAGGCCTTTGAACGGAGCACAGAGATCTATCACAATTTCGGTACATTTTCGTAACCTTAATGTTTTTAGCATCACAGCAACAATAGCGTCTCTTGGCTTGAACTCAGTGCCAGCCGGTCTTGTTTCCATCATTCTCATACTGAGCACCGTTGGTCTACCTTCAACCGAACTGCCACTGCTATTCGCGGTCGACTGGATGCTGTAAGTTCTTTTTGACAAACAAATACATTTTTTGGGCATGCTGACTGCACAATTTCCCTCTAGTTTTGTCGTAAGCTAGCAACCATAGGCTTTCTTGGTTATCCTCTCATCTTCTTGGTACTACAGAGAGGGGCTCCAAAAAGACGAGATGGTTGCCAGGCAGGGCCCATACGTTCATGCCTCAATAGTGTCTCAAAACATAGTTTCACCTTAGAATCTGGACATGGAGCACACTGAACTTGACTGTTCTGCTGATGGAGGCCTGCCGATATGTAGATTTTCAAACGCGAAAACCCTGCATACATCACCGTTGAGACGTTTGAAAAGCTTACTCCTGGCAAAACACCAATCCTGGTTTGTAGTCAAATTATGTCACCTGTTCCTCTAACCATTATGCTTGAGCTGAAGTCTTTATCTCCGCCATGTAAATCCCGTACGTGGCAAGTGTGGCAGTCAGGCCATCCAGCCTCCACGGGTGCTTCGCCGCGAGCGTCGACCGTTCGAGTACTATCTAACCCATTGCATTTTAATACGGATGATGAACTTACAAAGCATTCTAATAACTGTTCTATTACGTTTTCATTTGTACAAAATGTGGCGGACTTGTGTTGGGGAGGGAGGGCTGGATGATACGTTGCTTCAGCTCTCCCTTCCAATGTCGGACTTGCTATCCGTTGTTGAATAATCGTAAAGCACCAGATAGGAACCAAACATCCGAAGAATCTTCCGTTAACTCTCGTCTGGCTCTGGGTCCACTCTTCACGCGCTACCTGTCAAAATGCAAGGTACCCACCTTGTGAAAAACTAGTTTCTGTATAAGATGGGAGACGTGCACGACACTGACAATCATCGCAGTTTACAATTTTTTTCCACACAAGCCATTGCAAACAGAAATGGCGAACACTAGACGAAGGACAGCCATGCGAGCGCAGGGTTTCGAAGAGGATTCAGCACGATCGATCACATCCACACGGTAACGAAGCTCATCGAAGTATCGCGAGAGTACAAGAGGCTATTATTTCTCACGTTCACCGATTTAAAACGCCTTTGACTTCGCAGAGACAGAAGCGGTTATCTGAACCCTGGGAACCAGGGTATTACTTCTCGGTATATCGGGATTCTTCTTGAGCTCTACAGCAACTTCACGACCAAGATCTCACCATTCTAAAAGGAGATCATCATCATTGTGAAGAGATGGGTTCGACAAG